GATTTTGGGCCCAGAGAGAATGCACGCTTATTGACAGCACATATGGGAACACAAGAAACTGAAAACAGAAAAAGATTTTGGCAACATAGTTATTTGCAAACAGTTACTGTCAAAAAGTCATGCACACAGATGTGAATACTGATTGTGTTGGTCAGTGCAAGTGTGAAGCAGTTATTAGTAACTAAAAACTAAAGCCATGAAAATACATTTTTGTTACTTAAACACCAAGTATATACAGTAGACATTAATATAGACATTAAAAAAGACAAAACACAACACAATTAAATGGAAAATACAAAAATAAAATGTAATTCAAAATATTAAAAAATATAATACTTTCTCAATGATACTGAATTAACCCTATTTTCAGTACATAAAAGAAGTGTGCATATATCATCACCAGTAAAGCCAATGGATGTGTTTATGCAAATTGTCATATGATACAGAAACTCGGCCAATCAGAGAGCACTCGGTAAGAGAAGATGGAAGTTGACTTTTTTTTTATTCAAATTTTGAATTCACCCCAGTCATGTGAAGAGGTCAGCCAGCCACACTATGTCATGCACACACAACAAATAAGACAAACAAACAAATTTAAATGCTCATTGCAAGTTTTCTCAATAAAGGCAAAAACAATAAACAGTATGTTGTTCTGACAGTCCAGAGTTTGAATCCGTATCATGACAGATCCGCTTCTTTAGTCAGACAGGGTCACACAGATTATTTGATGCAGTGGGATCTTAAAAGATTCCTTGATAATGCATTCTATTGCAGAAAGAAGTTATTGTAGAAATGAATACAAAGCAACATGAGGTGATTATTGTGAATAATCATGTGTATACGGCAGCATGAACCACACTGCTGTGGGTGGACAGACAGATTTAATAGTGCAATATTCCTGTAGCATTAAGACAAAAATATAGTAGCTGAGAGTAAACAAATTTTAAAAAGTTGGTCAAGACTATTGTTTTTTTGCTGATAGATAATACAAATGCAAAACTGCAATAGACAATTAAATTATATAAAGGGGAGACCGAGGCTAGTTTTCACACTGTGAATGTCTCAGTGACTATCATATTAAAAGGAATAGTTCACCCAAAAGGGAAAAATTGCTGAAAATGTACTCGCCCTCAGGCCGTCAATGTATGGATGAGTTTGTTCAGAACAGAATTGGAGAAATGTAGCATTACATCACTTGCTCACTCATTGATCCTCTGCAGTGAATGGGTGCCGTCAGAATGAGAGTCCAAACAGCTGATAAAAACATCACAATAATCCACAGTTCACTCCAGTCCATCAAATTTATGTCTTGTGAAGTGAAAAACTGCATGTTTGTAATAAAGACATTTTTAATTGAAAACCACCGTAGCGTCCAGCTAAAACACAAGTTCTCTATTCTTATTATTGCTTCCTCCAGTGAAAAGTTGAAACAGGAGAGAAATATGCACAGATCAAGCAACGTTTATAGGAGAAAGCAGTCCAAAACAGTTCTAAACAAATATGTCAGTGCAGCATTACATCACTTGCTCACTCATTGATCCTCTGCAGTGAATGGGTGCCGTCAGAATGAGAGTCCAAACAGCTGATAAAAACATCACAATAATCCACAGTTCACTCCAGTCCATCAAATTTATGTCTTGTGAAGTGAAAAACTGCATGTTTGTAATAAAGACATTTTTAATTGAAAACCACCGTAGCTTCCAGCTAAAACACAAGTTCTCTATTCTTATTATTGCTTCCTCCAGTGAAAAGTTGAAACAGGAGAGAAATATGCACAGATCAAGCAACGTTTATAGGAGAAAGCAAACCAAAACAGTTCTAAACAAATATGTCAGTGGATTTTGATGTGAGAGGTCAACAGGAGATGGACTTTTTCACTGGAGGAAGCGGTATTATGGATTATGGACCTCCGTTTTGGCCAGAAGTGATGGTTTAAAGTTACAGCATCTTAATGTTGGATTTGTTTCTTACAAACATGCAGCTTTTTACTTCACAAGATGTTAATTAATGGACTGGAGTCATGTGGATTATTATGATGTTTTTATCAGCTGTTTGGACTCTCATTCTGATGGCAACCATTCACTGCAGAGGATCCATTGGTGAGCAAGTGATGCAATGCTAAATTTCTCAAAATCTATTCCAATGATGAAACAAGCTAACTGTAATAATCAAAACAAATTTTCACTACTTCAACTATTTTAACTATTCCTTAAACTCCTGTCACCCTCTAATAATAATAATAATAATTTGCAGTTTAATAATTATTACGATTAAATGGAATTTGTATATTTATCTCATCTTATAAATTAGGTAATGTATTTTCATACACATGATTTGTCAATGCCCCTCCACAGCAGTGGATCTGTTGCCAATCATAAAGTTATTACATTTCATCTAGTCCATACATACAGGCTCATCTGTCTGAGTATTTATCACTAGGTTATTACATATAGAATGCAAGTACAGTTTATTGATGTAAAATACATGTTATTCTGTCCTGACCCCAGGAGCCATCATGTACATACATAGGTTAAAGTGACAACCAATAAAAAGTGGAAAATAAAGCTTTTTTGTTGTGCTAGTGAAACAATGGACACATTTCAGACAGTGTTTACACTAAAATATATGTTTGTGCATTGTTTGGGCGGCGGCGGCATTCGTGAGGATTAGTTGCTTTGGTTTTATTTGATGTAATGTTTTCCATGTGAATACATGGGGGAGCTTTTGCTTTGAAAACTAACTATTTTAATTTGTTTGCTTCTATATCTGAATATGAATTTGAGTATGTGCCTTAATGAAATACAAACTCCACATTTGAAAGATACCCCTTTAAGGCACATACAGTATGCTGAATGCTGTAAAAATGGGAATGCATCTGAGTTTAAAATATGCCTTTGTAATTTGTCAGGGATATAACTACTTACAATATATGCACTGTACAATATTATAAAATGGTAGCGATTTACATACATTTACATGTGTGTTGCAACATATGCTGTGAAATCCAGAATGTCAGACGTAAATTTGATTGGTATTAGAAGGGTGAGCTGTTTGAGCCTGAATCCGCTTCCCGCTGGCAGCCTCGGAAATTGACTAAAAGAGTGCACGGGAGCACTGGAGTCCCTCAGGAATTTCTCTCATTAATTAGTCTTGTCTGAAACCGAATTACTTTAGCGGGCACTTTGGGCTTTGCATACCTCAGTAATCCACATCAAGACAATTATTCAAGATTTTTTCAAGAAAACATCGGCAAGGGTCCAGTCCGAACGTCACTTACCACCTGAAACGTTTGGCTAATTTTTTAACAACTGATTCATGCTTTTGTGTCACATTTGATCTAATTTATTATTGGCCATCTGCCTAAGAATCTTGAATTTTAGATGAAAACTTCACCAACCTGACTGCTTCTGATTTATTTTGTCAACAGAGGTCAAATTACAGACCAGCTCTCAATTAAAACTGGCTAAATGAAATGGACATAGAATCTTATCAAGAAAAACCAAAAAGTGAAAATTAATGCAGCCTTCTACATCCATTACAAAAACCCCTAAGCCATTATTTGCAATGTTATTTTATTGGTTAGGTAGTGTCAGAGTTGAAGTCTTGAAGACCCATCAAGACCACAAACGCTGCATTGCTCCATCTAGGTCCAGATTTAATCTCGGTTTAGGGTGAAGAAAAGAGTCCACTTATGTACTAAAGATGATAACTCAGCCAAATTCAACAAGGTGCCTTCATAATTACAGAAAAATAGCAAAATGTCTATGGCTTTGAATGGCTATTTAGCCACTGTACAATGTGAATGCTGCAATCAATTCAGCATCTTCTCTCATACTTGGACAGGCATTGGTCTAGATCTGGGCCTCAATGCGTCAAGTCTTGGTCTAAGTCTTATAGGGTCGGGACTTGACTCCAACTCTGGTTTATTGGATGATCCTAACTGTAACACAGATACTCCGATATTTTATCCAGGATACAGTAAGACCTAGTAAAATAGTAAAAAAAAAGGTTCAGTTTAAAACCGATAAGTGACATGGTTGCCGTTATATCAGAAATGCAATTTAGTTAGTGAACAAAAACACTCCCTACCACAAGCAGAGAAAAAGAACAGTTGATTAAATAGAGGTTCCTAAAAGAGGTGCAACTATGCTTTTCAATCAACATCAGAGCAATTTTTAGGCCTATGAGGTATCCTCTGAAGACATCATCAAAGTGTAAAATACATAAATAACTGTCTTTATTGATGCATTTAAATAAGTCTCATTCAAATTAATGCCATGATTATGGCCGAGCGTAAAGCAATCATTGCTAGGGTTAGCATACATTATACATTGATTCTTCACAATGGAATAATAGTCGTGCTGTTTATATAAATAACGATGAATAACAATCATCTGCAATGCCATTACGTTCCCATTTGTGAGGGCCTGCTTTAGTGGATGTTTAGTTCGACTTTCATTTCAAAAAATACTTTTTAATGGATTATTTGCTTTTTATATTGGATCCAGTGCTATCGCTTCTCTTTGTGACAGTATACGCATACCAGTTTGAACAAAGCACATGCAATTATTCTCCTCTCACAATCGACTTACGCTGTCGCTCGTCTGTCACCTCTAAACATAACGCACTTGGAAAGTCTACATACATGTTTAATTTACAGAAAACCTTAGATTGAATTTAAACACACGGAAACAGAAAATAAAAAGGTTAATGGAAACAATGACATACATCAAACGACAACTAGTGCACATGCTATGGTTGGCAACAATATTTTGGCATGATGTGAATCAATGTCTTATTTTTCTTAAATAGAATTGCTTATAGAAAACAATACCTGATACTGTGTAGTCCTTTTCAAATCAGTTTTATCGTTATTTTTCCTTCGGTGGTGTGGCACTTGAATCTCAAGAAAGAACCAGAGGTTGCTCACCATTTGATAAAATGCACATTTTCACAAGTCCTTAAAAAATTATTTATATATATATATATATATATCTCCCTCTGTATTATTCAAAACACAAGTGTGCATCATCTGATAAGATATCAGGATAGTATTATTATATCCAAATCCACTGAGGTGCTGCTCAAAAGGGCGAAGAAGGCCCAGGCGATGTTTTCTGTAAAAATAGACATCCATGCTTCATGCTTTTTAACGAAGTTCCAATATATCCACCGAGCGATCAAATGTCCTTATGGTCCGACGTCATCTAGCAAGAGCCTGAAAATGACGAAAAAAGTGCCGGAATGAGGTTTGGTAGAGCAGCAGCATTGGATATGTGTGTTCAGCAATTGCCGTCGGTCCTCAGATGGACTTGCGTCTTCTCATCAGCCGGAGGTTTTCCGTGAAGCTGTGCAGCCCGGGCGAGACGGAGCTGATGGGAGAGGGAAGGAAACTGTTTTTCAGCGTGCTCGGCGAGATCTCCTCTATGCGGTAGGACACCGTTGAGTGGTAGTGATGGTACTGATGAGGGCTCAACTGGGAGCCGAATGAGTTCTGGTGTGGAAACGTGCCACCGCCGCTGCTTCCTCCTCCTCCCATTCCCAACCCGAGGCCGACCGAGCTCCCGAACTCATGCGAATGGTAGTGCATGCAGGAGCAAACGGACTGGAGATCGGTGACCTCGGATCTGTAGCACTGCTGCTGCTGTTCTCGTCTCCGTCGACTCCTCTGGAGCGTGTCCTCCTGGATGTGGATAATCATGCTACTGCGGTTCCCCGCCAGGGAAGCCCTCTCCTCAGCGTCCCGCCGCTCATCCTCGCTGTTCATGGTCAGGAAACGAAGGACCACCAGGTTGAGAAAGGCCCCGATGACCGTCAGCCCCACTAGGATGTACATGAAGCTGAACGCCACATAGAGTGGCTTTCTCTGCAAAGCTTTGTTATTCTGCAGGGCCACAAAGTCCCCGAACCCAATGGTGGTGAGCGTTATGAAACAATAGTAATATGACTGAAAGAAACTCCAGTCCTCGTAATGGGAGAAAGCTGCCGCGCCGATGCAGAGCGTTCCCATGCAGGAGAAGAAGCCCACGGTGACCATGTTCTCCATGGAGACTTCTGTGATGCGCATCCCACAGCACTTTTTGATGCGCTTCAGCATGTACTTGACGAAGGTGTTCATTCTCTCGCCGAGGCTTTGGAACATCACTAGTGTCAGAGGGATCCCAAGCACCGCGTAAAACATGCAGAACGCCTTTCCAGCATCTGTGCCTGGAGCCGCGTGGCCATAACCTGAGGACCAAAGAGACAAGTGATCAGATCAAAGATGACAAGAAACAACAAAAAAAAAAGAGTGTGCTGGCTGGGAATACTGCTGGCTGAAGATCTGGGCTGGTCACCAATGTTGCAGGTGTGAAACAACACCTGGGTTTTTAATTGGTCTGTTTTCAGCTTGTTAAAAAAATGTATCTAAAATCCTTAAACCAAGTAAATTAGCTAATGAATGCATTATTTTGTTCTACTGCACTGCAAATTGTCAAAATACTTGTATTAAATATAAATTCTCTCAAAAACACAAATATTATTTATACAGTGTGTGTGTGTGTGTGTGTGTGTGTGTGTGTGTGTGCAGCAATATCATTGTCTGAAATTGTGAAATGTATATATAAAGAACTTGTATTATAGTTCTAGAAATCCATCTGGTTACTGGTGCGTTAATGATACCAGAAAACAAATGCACTGATCATCACATTTTCATCTCCAAAGAATCAAATGCAATTGACCAAATATGGTGGTTTGCTGAAGTTAAGGTGCTACAAAAACCTTTTTTTTTGAGCAAGGGACTTTTCCAAAGTTGTCTAGACTGATTGCCTGTTGGATGACTGTGCTGTATGCCAATTTGGAAAAAAAGCACTTTACAAAGCAGTAAGGTAGAACTAAAGAACTGCTTTCAAAAACACCAGAAATCAAAAAAACATCCGATATCTACAAGCAGAAATTAGCAACATGGTGTGCTCTCACACTAATCTAATTGTACTCTGGTGACCGACCAATTTCTATAACTTCTATCATCTTCAACAAATTTCAAGAAGCCAGTCAGTCAATTTCCAAGAAGTTAAACTTCCCCATATTTGGCTTTGCCTGTGTACTCAGACAGAAAATATGAGCTGAGTCACGCATCTTAGCTATCACTATCTTAGCCAAAACACTGAGTATAGGTCACGCAAACCAGGTGCCTCTTTGATCTTATTCAAGGCTCAGAGATTAGAGGGGGGTGTCCAATTAGTGCCAGGTTTCCTCTCTTGCCCCCTTGGCCCACTTCTTAGGGGGGCGAGACAGGAAGGCAGGTGTTACAGATTTAAAAAAGAAAGGAAGAAGAAAGGCTGGTGGAGCCAGTAAAGCTTTTAGCTTAATTAGACTTTATCTGGAAGTAAAAAGCCTAAATTTGCTGACTCACATCGAAGCCAGTGAGCCTTTCTAATATAGTCTTTGCTGATGAGCAAGAAAATAAGTGACAAGACTATAGTAAAAATGTATTACATCCCACCTCACTATGCCAAGGCAAGTATTCATCCTCTCTCTTTCATTAGCACTAAGAAGGTATCATTCAAAGAGCTTTAGCTACACTAGCGCATGTGTTCGTGTCATAGTAGCTCAACACAAAGTGGTTTAAAGTGTTTTTAACAGGCTTTCTTAAAGTTGCAGTAAGTGATTTCAGATGTTTTGCTAACTTACACTAGACTTCACACTGTTCCTTTAATCAAAAGCCTTCTTACAAAAACCACCCACCATAGATAAGTTAACAAAACTGAGCATTGACAGACAAAGAACATTTTATGACTGCCTGAAAATAAAGTTTGAGCAGCTTGTATCTCTGTTGTGCTGTTCATAGCAGGTGCTCATTGTTTGGCTGGTTAGCTTCCGCAGTTAGCAGATCTGAAGGCAAAAAGCATATTTTTCATTAATGGCCAATCAAACGTAGCTGAAAGCAGCACATAAATAAAAACAAGTTAATTATATTACAGTAGATTCAAGATTTACATATGTTTTTTTGAGTATAATTAATTGGGTGAAACAGATCTGCTGCAAGGACTTCTAATACAGAGTGGAAATATAAATGTAATTTTTACACAATATTTTAGTAAATATCAGACTACATATTAACACAAACACACACACACACACACACACACACACACACACACATATATATATATATATATATATATATATATATATATATATATAGAATTGACATATAGCCTCTTAAAAACCTTCTGAACACCCACTGGAAGCCCACGCCACAGTGCTCAACACCCACAAACACATGCATTCATTACCGCAACACCGCACGGCCACACGGCTCAACTCCTGCCGAGCACTTGTGCGAACTTAGCTGGCTTTTACTGATCTTTTGGACTTGTAGGGATTGATCTCCCAGTTCTGCCGAAGGCCGCCTGCCCACTCGAGTGTGCGGCTATGGATTCTATTTATAGAAGTCGAGCCTGATCGATTCGATTTGCAAGCAGCACCAGGGAGAGTTTTCTTTTCTTACTTACTGTGTTGGATTAGATGTTTTGACCTCATGTGCACACACATTGAACGTATTGGAAATATGGGTGTGAAAATGTCATGTTATCACTCTCTGCTGTGCTGGAATATTGAAGAAAAATATTGCTGGGGTCAATAGGTTGAAAGGTCAAAGTGCACTTGGATGGAATTGGCAGCATATATGAATGATATCTGAAGACAAAAATAGATTTAATACAGTTGCACGTTAAAGATGAAAAATATTGTGAAGCTGTCTATAATTCAATAACTGTATTTTTAACAGCACACTTTTGAAAAGCTCAGGCTTTTGCTTTATAGAAAAGAGCTGCATAGAGAAAAACATTATATTCTCTCTATATATAAGAGAGATTAAGATTTATATATTAAATCTTTAATAAAGTTAATACTTATAGAAAGGATGTATTGATTTGATAAAGACAGTATAGTGATAGTGACTAAAGACAATGTTACAAAATCATATCTCCACAGAAATAGCAGCAGATTTAATGAGAATGCATCCCATTGACATATAGCCTCTTAAAAACCTTCTGAACACCCACTGGAAGCCCACGCCACAGTGCTCAACACCCACAAACACATGCATTCATTACCGCAACACCGCACGGCCACACGGCTCAACTCCTGCCGAGCACTTGTGCGAACTTAGCTGGCTTTTACTGATCTTTTGGACTTGTAAGGATTGATCTCCCAGTTCTGCCGAAGGCCGCCTGCCCACTCGAGTGTGCGGCTATGGATTCTATTTATAGAAGTCGAGCCTGATCGATTCGATTTGCAAGCAGCACCAGGGAGAGTTTTCTTTTCTTACTTACTGTGTTGGATTTGATGTTTTGACCTCATGTGCACACACATTGAACGTATTGGAAATATGGGTGTGAAAATGTCATGTTATCACTCTCTGCTGTGCTGGAATATTGAAGAAAAATATTGCTGGGGTCAATAGGTTGAAAGGTCAAAGTGCACTTGGATGGAATTGGCAGCATATATGAATGATATCTGAAGACAAAAATAGATTTAATACAGTTGCACGTTAAAGATGAAAAATATTGTGAAGCTGTCTATAATTCAATAACTGTATTTTTAACAGCACACTTTTGAAAAGCTCAGGCTTTTGCTTTATAGAAAAGAGCTGCATAGAGAAAAACATTATATTCTCTCTATATATAAGAGAGATTAAGATTTATATATTAAATCTTTAATAAAGTTAATACTTATAGAAAGGATGTATTGATTTGATAAAGACAGTATAGTGATAGTGACTAAAGACAATGTTACAAAATATTTCTATTTCAAATTATTTTTAATTTAACTTTCTATTCATAATTTAAAACAATTTATAATATATTAAAATAAAACAGTTTCAATTGTAATATTTCACTATATTACTGTTTTTCTGTATTTTTGATCAAATAAATGCAGCCTTGGTGAGCATAAGAGACAAAATCATAAAAAATAAAAAAAAACTTACTGGTCCCCAAAAAAAACACAAGCACACAATATAAAATTATTTCATTAATGTTTTAATTACTATATAACCTATATTACATATATTTTTAAAGTTGTATTTGTTTTTATACCAGAAGCTTCATTACCAAAAGAAAAAAATCCTTGTGGCAATAAAGCTCTTCTTGATTCTGATTCAACACATCAACTATAGTTCTGCCACTAGTTGGGTCTGTGTTGACTAGTGGGTAACATGACTTAAAGGGATAGTTCACCCAAAAATTAAAATTTGTTTTCAGTACAGTATGGGCGGGGGGGGGCTCTGTCAAATTGTGGCTCTGTCTTTAAATAAATTCAGTTCAGTCTTTATTTCCATTAACATTTCCTTAAGGATAAAAAAAATCTACCTCAGTTAAAGAGATAGTTCACCCAAAAATGAAAATTTGATGTTTATCTG